CCACGAAGACATCTATTGTTCTTCGATATTACCACTCTTTTTACCTCATATCTCTGTTTACTTTCTCTGTTTCGCACTTTTTTAACTTTCTTCTCTTGCTGTGTGTGCTAAGGGAAGTGTGGCGACTCGAACTGCTGCACATCGGTGCAAACTACTACGCTGAAACCAGTCAGTCAGCCGATTATTATTCCCTGGTATCCTAGTACGTCTCATTGAACATTTCCAAAATGATGCGAAACCTACAATCTGAATTCTTGTGAATATGATAATCAAGCATATAACTCCATAATATATTATACTTGTATTCTGGTTATAATTCTGTGTGATGTAGACTTGGATTAGCAGATTACTGCTGATGTTATGAAGGATGACTGGAGGTGGACTACAGCTTTGGATTGTGACGAGATTCGTGTACCAGTGGCCTTGGATTGTCTCAAAAGACCCAGCGGCTAATGAGGAATTCCACCTTAATGAATGGTGGTCTTTATCTTCAAATAAATTGTTTAGTAACTCATGGACTTATTGCACTTGAGCGAGATACCTAAGACTCATGTTGAAAACCTAATTGCACAATGGGTAGTGCTGTACTTCGTCCCCTCACATTCCGGTTGAATGGAATCAACTGCATTCCAATTTTGAACCTTTAAGTATTCCATCATTTAAGTTTCACTGACTAGTACGTATCCAATCAGCAAACGTTTCTATATCTGACGAAGTAAAAAATTAAGGCAGTTTCTCAAAATGGTAGAATCGACTATAATTATTATCTTTGTGGTAGACTGCACTGGAATCTACAGTCCATGTTTCGTCTTATGAGATACTCTTCAAACGGACATGTGTGTCTTAATGTTTTTTGGTACTTCCACCGAGAATCAAACTCGAAATCAGTGTTGTCCTCTTGATTTTTTAATTATTACAACCAGCACTCATTCAACAGGTACCAATCAGGTACCTTAGTAGGCTGAAATGGTCGAGTATTTTCTGCCATACGAGCGTGCATAGCAGATTTCTCATAATGTCACTCCCATTTATGAATTTAAATTGTCGATGATCACAGTAACCGTGAATCAGCGAAGGCTTACTAGAGAGTTCTTACAAGAACGAATCACGTCTTCTAAGTTAGAATACTTGTTTTCACCAAGTTAGCAGTTTCACTGTAATATTGTCAGTAATATTGAGAAGTTTAGACGATAAATTTATTCAACTGAAATACAGACAACATGAAATCCGAAGAATTATTAAAGCGAACTTTTATCTTCTTGAGTCAACTACAAAGCCATTTTTGATAAAGATTATCAAGTTCAATCATGGACTAATGCCAGTTGGAGAACCATTGAGAAACCATGAGTGTGCTGGTCAGCAGTCAAGTTCTAGTTTAAGACACTGCACACCCAAGACCCCATCGTGGGTCAAAACAAGGTTCTCTAGGTTCAGAGTTCAAGGTCATCGACTGTTCATCCACTGGGACCGGAATCAAATGGTCCATCAATTCTAAGTTCTATCAATTCGTGATTGAATTCCTGTAAACAAAGTCAAGGAAACTAAAGACTATGATTCTTATACTCATGATAATTTTAGAATCGATGACACTAAGTAAGTTTTGTTCCGTTCCATAATTGTGCATACAATGGTGTGTATTTTCTTCTGATTATATAATAAAATATTGAAAGAAGTACTAAATTCCAACGTTTTGTTTTGTAAAATGACCAAAAGATATGCGGAAAAGAAAATTTTCCTTCTCGATGAGTCATTTTCATCAGTTGTATTTTACGTTTTTATTAACAATCAACAAATTAGTCTATAAATGGCTAGTACGTCAAGCTGAGAACTGCTGAACATGTTCTAGGATCTAATGGTAAATTTTCCAGAGTTGGAAAGGGATTACGTCACAGTAGAGTCGATATATAGCGCTAAGGACACAAGCAGTGTCTACTATAATTCCTAATGTGAGGTGTACAGCTTCTGGTATAACCGGTAATACGAGCTGGTAGACTGCAAGTCTCACAAACCTAATCCAAAACGACATCCAGAACAATCCCACCAACACGTGAAAACAAGCAGAGAAGGCGAACAATAGACATGAGAGAATTTACTGACTCGAACAACAGAAAAAACATTTGACCGTGATGTTAATCATGTATCTTGAATGACTGAAAAACACTAAATTGACTGGTAATTTGAAACACTTAACATCGATTAAGAGTTCAGCATTCCTAGAGAATGTAAAATCCATCGGTAAGAGATAACCACAAAATGAAGGTATTTTTAGTGTACAGGCTAATATCAGGTGAAATCAATTTAAAATCGGGGGGGGGGGAGGTGATATTTTAGTCCAAATGCATACCAAAGGAGTACTGTTTCACGATTTGTAAGGGAGAAAAAAAATCGGTATCCTGTTTAAAAAATATGCTTTGTTTCCTTCGCTGATTGTATAACACCTTGTTTCTGTCAAAGTATATCTTTCATTTATGGATTCTAAAGAGTGCTGCTGATGAGTCCACATCAATCTATCACCTACCTTTTGAAATATTTACTTAATTGTTGGTGAATAAGAATAAACTGGAGAAGAGTTGTCTCAATTTCGATTCCGGTGTAATTTGTTTACACAAATATATAGTCTAGCAACATAACGTCAAACCCTGAAGCACTTTTCTTGCATACTATTTAAAAATAGTATTGTAGAAAACCAGTTTCAGTTGAGTTGCTTTGTTCATTTCCTTTGTGTTCCGAGTAAAATATATGGTTACAAGCCTGAGCATTGAGGTTTCGATAGCGGTGGTTTTACCTATAGGGAGTGAAGGTGCTAACCTCACATCTAACATCTCCTCTTCACCAGGCCAACTACCGGCTGAGATGTAGGAGAGCCTCAGCCAGGAATCGAACTCTGACTACGTGATTTGTTGGTGAGGATTCCCCCAATAAACCACCAATTCACCAAGAATTGTTTTCAGCAATGAATATAAGAACCGAAAGGTTGCAGGTGTAAAGATTAATCTAGAATCTTGACTGGCGATTTAGAGTGATGTTTTAAGACTTCATAACTTTCCGAGCATATACACGTATGTTAGTTATATGAATTTATTTCGGTTCATCCTCTATTCACCAGAAGTTCCAATTCTGTGCCTGTAAATGAAGTCGTATAAATCTACAGATTTCACTCAAAGTACCTCTAAACACGTTAATGCTTACGTCGTTTATTTCTTCGTGTCACTCCTTTAATTGTCATCACAAAAGTTTATTTTGTGATCACCAAGTTAACATACTTAACGTTGCCATGCACTTTTAACTGATTCTAAATAGTTGGAGATTGTAGGCTGTACTGCACTCTAAGGTCAAGAGATAAGTGAAGAGCTCTCAGTAGTATGCATTCAAATGCTTATGAGAAAATGATTCTCCTAAAGGGTGCTTGCACTGACTACTTAGTGAAAGATAATAAACACGAGATCTACTCCTAAGAAATGGCTCAGATCATTTTATGGTGAATAGTTAGAGGCAGTTGGCAGGAAGCCTTAGACCTAAACTGCGTGCTAGCTGGCACTCATCAGTAAGGCGTATTTATCACGCGAAAGGAACTGATGCCACACCCATTCAGAGATACAAATTCACATCACTTAATACTGCAGTTACAGACCCTTACAATGAACAGTTCGTACCATTACGAATTAAAAACACTGTGATCTTTGACTTCTCGTTTCTATTCTCTTCAACAAATAACAGGTGCAAGTAAGACTGTGTTAAAATATAATCGCCTACGGTTTTGTTACTATACACATCGATTTGTGTCACCATTTATCATTAATTAAATAGTTTCTATTGAGCACTTAGATGAAGTTTCAACCATAGATAGATATAACATAGAGTAACGGAGATGTTTTGCAGACATCATGTTACCTGTGCGCTGTACTATGAAGATGAAGATTATCACGAGTACAGATAAAGGATATTCTCTCTTGAATGGGGATTAACAATCAGTCCATTTCCATGGCATCTGAAAGGGACTGAGAATAGGATGGTTGAATCACGGAAACTACAGGCTGTAATGTTTTCCTCTCTGAAACGTATGCCAGCATAAACTGAGTGATTACGGGGTATCTTCATAAACCTCAGAAACAGAAACTTAATTTACATACACATATTTCTTTTCATCGACGCAAGTGTTCAGTACATCACAACAAAACATCCATATCGTTGATACAGATATGTCAGATGACAAAGACGACATCGATTCACTTCTCTCCTCCTCGTTCTCCTTCTTTTACTCAAATCCATTTTATGAATCTACCGAAAATTCTATATGACATATTCTGAATACCAGATGGGAACAGTATTCTGCCAAGTAAATTAACTTTATTCATTTGATCAAAAACGACTCGTGGTAGAGTATTTCGCATAGATTTAATCAAGACTGAATAGTCGGTCAACGTGGATATATTGTACACTAAATGGATGCTACCAGAATATGACCTATTTTCCTGAAATCGATACTGGACTCAATACATCGAAAGTTTTCGATAGTGAGACTACTTAAAGTGACTTTTATCTGTTAATAAGGTCTCTACGCGGTTAGAATTCTCACTCATCTCATCACCTCACCACTCCCTTAATGTCAAGCAATAAGTCTTTCAACATATACAGCTAACTGCACAGAAATCCAAATATGTTGCATAGTCTTTACAATAGGTCTGGACTAGTCATTATTAATTACACAGACATTTCATTGAAAATATACGTAGCTGCAGTTCCAAATGTTCTCCCAGTTGTCGGACTCGCTCTCTCTCTCATTTGCACTATTCATTTTACAACCACTGTTGGCTAAGGAAACTGAAAGCACAGAAAGCAACAATGAGGCCATGAAAATACGAAATCACAATTATACCTGATTACACTTATTGCAACAGAAAGTAATTTTATCTCCTCTGGATTTAAATTTGCTTATTTTCATTACTCGATGAGGTGTCTACAAAATGCATAGAGTACCAAACTTTTGTCATTTTATTTAGAACACAGGAAGACAAAGCAAGAACGGTGTAAGTGAAATTATTCCTATTATGATTACTTCTATTCTCTCGCTTTCCATCGGGGGCACATTCCTGTAGCAAACTGTCCTTTGTTATCAATTTTAGCCGACTCCACAAACGATTTCTCACAGCTAAATCATTACTAAACCTTGCGATGCTACTCAACGGTATGGTATCACATGACTGTCATCTCAATGTATGTCTAGTCCATATTTATCTCCATCTCCAGCTTTGTTGGGAGTTAATACTGTGTAAGCTTCTTCATATCGGTGTAGCTGTGTTCTCTGAGCCCCAAATTTTAATTGAGAGAGGATTTCATTATCCTTCTAGACAACATTTTCATTATCAACTTTGTTATCACTAGACAAATTAAAACTCAGCTAGTTGTACCCAGTTCTTCTCAATAGACACTCAGAATTCACGTAGTTCGCGCTTATCTAAGTTTCTGAAGTGAATCACTCAGATGACACCTCTGATGGGCTTTGCCGAAAACTACCTCTTTAGCAATAAGTGTTTGGATCACTTCTATCTCCCTAATGACAATTACCATTTGATACTAGTGACTTTCAACTGACATTCCAGCATCTGTGTTCATTCTCTTGGCGCCTATGTATTCCACCTAATCTGAATTACGCACAGAGGTCGTGATTAAATGTTACCCCGAAATCTGTACATTCCACTGTGATATAATTTTTGCAGGAATCTCCTCGTAATACTGTCATCTTGCCGATGGTAGTTCACATGCACAAAAGTGAAACATAAATGAAGAAGGAGAATACAAATGAAAAATTCTGGAACTTATTTTGTTGATGAAGTACATTTATTTCTTCTGTTTTTATTCTGATACAGATTAGGAGGGGTAAATGTTCTGTAAGTTAACGTTATTTGTATGCAAACGACCACTATCCATATATTTGACATTAGACTTCTTCAGTCAATCAATAAAGTTTATTGACTATCTTAGGGAGAGTCATGTTTTCTTGAAGACTTTAATCTACTTCAGTTAATCAGGTTGTTGGAAGCATTTATTGTTGTTTTATTCCGTTGTGTTGCCGGTGGAACATAGGGTTTCATTCATGAGCTCTGAAGCTTCAATAGGGATTCTGTTCTTTTACAGTGTGCGGTCGCTAGTTTCATGCCAAACCTTCCGTCTTTATAGGTCCTACTTGCTGTTAGGTAAGGTTTAGGAGTGTGTCGGCCAGGAGTCGAACTTTCGACAATGTTTTGTATTCTACAACTGAACCACCGAGATATAAATCTCAAACAGTTCCGATCACAAGAGACCTTCTTATTAGTATTGTTACTATTTCTCTGCTGGATTCCGAGCCGAATATAGGGCTTCGATAGCACATTTTCACATTGTTCAATTATCTGCTTTCTCATTCAGCTGGCTCCATGACTGCCCATAGTCCCTCATTTCGTCGTCACACGGTCTTCCCCTTGTCACGCTCGCACCAACGACCATGTCGTCGTTTGTTTCCTATTCCTTTTGCACTCATGAGATGGCCTGGCGTGCGATGTCATTTAACGGTCTCGTCAACGTGTACACAACACATCTCCGTTTTCTCCTACATCCTTGTTGAGCAAAAGGCTCTTGGTTAGTTTGTTCCCAGAGTTCCTTGTTACTAATTATTTCTCTCTGGCTATCTGGTCTTCAAAATGGAGACAGCAAAGAAGGTTTATGTTGATTAAATCCTTCAGCAGCCTGTTAGAAATGCCTTCCGTGATGCAATGACCGAGTTTATAACCCAGTTAAAAGCACTTACTGACTTAACATTTGTGTTGAAAATTAAAATTTACTTCTTTGTACTGTGTGCAGACGAATTCCAGACTGATTTCAGATTGATTACATCTTCATCCGTTCCATCTGTAGTAAAAATGAGGCTTTCTGGTTAACTGACCTTCCTAATAGTAACGGTAATTTTCCAAGTTTGTGGATATATCTTGTTAGTTACTGTCAACGAATACAGAATCTAGATAGAATAAACTATCCCGCTTAAGTGATATAAGTATAAAACTTGGGCGCTGTGGTAGAGTATTATGTCAAATGAAATAGTTAAAAAACCAAAAGTAGGTGTATGAGAGTTAAAGTAAAACACCCTAGTTCCGCATCTGAACTCCTGATCAATGTTACTAATCTTCTTAGTTAAATGAAGAAATCATATTAGTGGTGAATGCCATTAACACCTCAATAGTTAGTTCACTCTGTACATTTTATATCCAGTTGTCGTAAGTCACAAAATGTACAGACACCATTCAACATTTGAGGTAGTTCAAGATAGTTGGTAGGAAACCCTGAACCCTTGGTTTCGTACTCACTGATCAACGTCGTAAAACAGTATCTATGACCTCAAAAGAACTAATACATCCTCAATGACTAGAACCCACATCCATTTTTTTATCCTTACGGATATTAAATGAAAATCAAAACTTCCTTCAAACAACTACTTTGCCCACTTTCTACTAATAGTTGATTGTTTATTCTAGCCTTGAATAAGAGAACAATAGAAGGTATAAATAATATTTTGTCCAGGTACCAAATCATGGTGTGGGCTGCTGAAAAGAATCTTAAAGTAGAATCTTTTGTGTAAAAGAATCTTTAAAAGCAGGTTAGTGGATTAAGTTGCGAAGAGGAGAAATGAAACATCCTTGTTGAACAATGCGTAGAACAAGAAGAGAAGACAAAAAAAGAAGAATACGGAGTGCTGGTGCAAGCGGAAGTTTCAATGTATGGCATGTGTATTTTGTCACAACTGCACGTTAGTTTGACAAATGCTGAATTCTGCTGCCTAATAGTTCCGTGTCTTGCTGGTATACCTTCACGTCCACTTCTTTCAGCGTCGGCGGCACAGTGGTTAGGACTCTCGCCGACCATGCACATGGTCCGGGGTTCGATCCCCTGCCGACGCACACCCGATATCTATGGTTGGCCTGCAAAATTTGGGCTACCGATATCCATGTTGAAAATTCCATACTTGTACGGTGTGGCATCAACATGTAATCAAAATAAAAATAAAATAAAAATTTACTAAGCGGTTTACTATTTCATTTCAGTGACAAATATATAGAACATCTGTAAGTGAAAATAACTCATCAGTTTCAGTAAAACAAAGGGTCTCGCATTTTTACAGATACTTTGCTATCTTAACTGTTGATATTACCTTTATCAAAGTAACATTCGACCAGAATTTACAGAATCCCTGCTAAGATACACAGTAACTTAATCGTATATCTTCAACATGAGGTGACTTTCTACTTTGGGAAGTTGATGGGAAGTGAAGAAGATAACAAACCATATAGAGATTTTTGGATTTGATAAATGTGTGATATTATTCAAACAGCATGTGTTCACATAATGAAATTTCCTATTATATAAGTCTGTTGATTCGGTCACTTCATGCGCCGGTGATGGCAGTTTTAGAACTAGATGAAATTGTGTTCTTATCCGTCATTCATATTTAGGTGATTCGGATTTCAGTTAGAATGAAGTGCCTCTAAGGTGAAACGTTCTTTGTGATTTTCGCAATTATTCTAAATGATTTCAATATTGTTGAAATCAGTTTTATGGCCAGTAGACACTTATGGCCAACTGTTTTGTGTTCTCCAAGCTTAAAAATGATTGAAAATTTGAGACAGTATTAGCTTTAATAGTGAAGCTGTGCGTTTTTTCGTTTTAATTTCTGACTCTTTAGCAAAGAACGATCATATGCATTGTAAGTGTAATAAAATGGTGTAGATATTTGTGAAGTTGATCTCACCATGAATTTATATGAGTCAGGGGGATAATTAATAGTTAATTGTTTTATCATCACTGTGATTAGTTTTCGGAGTTTAGAGTAGGAGACCATAGAGCTTCAGCAGTACTTCTTAATTCACCTCGGTTCTCTGCAGTCACTTTCAACTGGCTTCACAACTGTCCCGCATGCATTCATTTCTTCTTCACATGATATTCTTCATGCCACTCTCTGACACATGCCAAACCTGTTGCTTCGGATTTGGGTACCACTCGAGGGTGTGATGTCTGAAATCACTTTTCAGTGTATGTACACTCCACCTTTATCTCTCTCTGAATAATTTTTGGGGGAACAGGTTCTTTGCCAGGTCTCCGCTACATTTCCTTGTCACTTGTACTTTTCAGACATGTGATCTTCAGAATCCAGAGAAGGAAGACATTGATGGAAGTCTCCAGTAGCTTGTTTGAAATAAATTCGATTACGTGAGAGCCGCCCCTCTAGATCGTAGAGAAGCTCTGAATTTCCTTTGGAACTGAACATTTCACTCTTTTCCGTTCTGCTATGTGCTGCCTATTTCCACTCTCATTTCAGATTAATGATCACCTGTCTTAGTTTCCTGGTCCTAACCGACTTTGACATCATCATCCTTTCTACCTGCAGTTGAGACAGTACTGAGCAGAACTGTATTTAAAACTATTTTGTCGTACTAAGACACTCCAAAGTGCTACTCATTTGTAAAGGTCTTTAGAGCTGGATGAAACACCTGCCATTAGCTTCTAATCATTCATTATATTATATTTGGACATTTAGTAATGGTTTATCTCTAAAATCGGATGAATATAGTGTAGTACTCAAGCAAATAAGATAACAGACAAAGATGGAAATCTACAAGTGAAAAATGAAGAAAGTAAACAGTCATAACATTGAAGAAGAGAAAGTAGAAGAGTTGAAATAAGAGTTCTCCACGAAACTCGATTAAACAGGTGTCAAATCTATGTGAAGTATCTGATTGCACTACATCGATAACCTTCCGAAGTCACTGAAAGGAAATATGTAGCAGTGCTGAATTCAAAGCTGGTGACCTTGAGAAAATCTCATTTGTATCAGGCTTTTCCTCAAATTGGACACGTAAGGTGACTAGCATTCCGTTCGCAGATGACATATTCTCTCGCCGACCATTGATATCAGGTGTGCGCCGGCAGAAGATCGATCCCCGGACCATGTGCATGGTCGGCAAGAGTCCTGACCACTGTGCCACCGACGCACAAGTGATGTCGGCTTGTCTTCGTGTGCAGTTGGATCTTCTGGTTGCCACTGCATAAATAGAGACGATTTCACTGATATATATGGGAGATCTAATCCAAACAATTTCATTAGTAGTCTTGCAGTGATTTCGGAGGTTATCTTCACATATGTTAGGGAGATTTTATTTGTGTATTTCATCTTCAGGGCTTTCTACATCCATTCAGGTATCATATCTGTTGCAATATCCTTAAAATGACACAACTCAGCAGATATATCATTTTACGATATAACTAAAGGTGGTAGAATTCTACAAGCTAAACCAGAAATATCAGGCGTAGTATCAAAGTATGTCTAATTTATTCGTGAAGAGGCGATTCTTCTTTGCCTGTATTGCCTGATAACCTTTGTGTGAATAAAATTAGTTCACCAACTGATACCGATATTTTCCTCCTTTTCACACAGCGAATCAAAGCACAAGCCGTAAGTTTATCCATTGCACATGACTTGAATTTCTCCCCTCTTTTCTAACTCAAATAAAACTATACTACTGATATGACCGGTGATACAGCCTAGTAGACTGCAAGTTGTAAGAACCTAATGAGCTGACAAAAACTGCTCCAATAGCTAATTTGAACAGCATTAATAAGAGTACTACCAACATGGGATAACAAGAAGAGACGATGGCCTTTTGACAGAAGAGGTTTTACTGTCTCAAACTACAGTCAAAACAGTTGACAACGATGCTAATTTTATGTAAATCAAATTAACTTGATAATTATTGGATTCACTAAGAAGTTTAGGCAGGTAGCAACCACCGAGACAGCCTAGCCAACGCAACACGTATGAAATATAAAAGGTACCATAAGTGAGCAGTAATCGCAAAATATAGTGATTTTGATGTTATGGTCTGATGTCAGACCAAAATTTCCAGAGAATTTTCGGATATATAATAGCCATTTTTGTTCCATACGTAGTTTTGTATTTTCTTTGACCTCAAGGCTTCCTTAATAAAGTTCTGCCTTAATCCGAATTCTTTCTTGATTTTAATAAGATTTCAATCGATATTTATACACTTGGTTATATTTAGATTTCACTTGTGATTAGTAGACTAGTGGGAAAAATAACATTAAACGCTTTTTAGGCTAACTGTCGGCTAAAGCCTTTTGGACTGATTCCTTGAATTCTACACTTGTGTTCATTCCTCAGTTTCGAAATTGAACGAAGGACTTTTAGATTGAACCCTCACATGCCACACGCCGAAACTCCCTATTCTCTTCAGGCTCACTAACGGTTCGTGAATTAATCAATAGCATTGGGGTCCATCGACTAGTGACTGAATCCGGAACCACCAGCGTTGCTGGTGAACATTGTACCACTAGACCACCGCCATTCAGTGATAAAGTGCTTCCAATTGACATAAACAATGTATTTTACTAATTTTGCAAAACTCAACCTGAATTTTCAGAAACGGTGACTACACTACCCAACAGCATGTTGATTTGAAGGGTTAGTTGGAAGCAAAAGATGAGATTTTTGGTATATTTTATGCCTCAATACAGTGCCACAATTATCATTGGTGACAAGACATTGAGCTCAGCGATTGCAGTAAAACCCCATCAGTTATACTTAAGGACGAACACCGGATCGGTTGTGGTTTGAATTAATAAATGGTAATGTCCTTGACCTGGTCGTTTCATACAACTATTGTTAATAAATTGCTTTGAATTTGAATTGATTTATTCATAGTTTTTGTTCACTGATGTCAAAACGTTTTCGTGTTGTTTTCTCTTGTTAGGGAACCGGGCAATCTGTACGTCAGTATCTCTGTTATCGCTTTTGTTTCTTTTTTCAATAAAATTTTTGATCCTGATCTCTAAGAGTTTCATACTGCATACCTCTGGATGGATAGCGTTTTGTTTGCATCAAATACCACCTCATTTTATCGCAAATTCCGGTGTCAAACAGATTATATTGGAAGTGTTTAGAAATCATTGTTGTCTGCAAAGAAATAAGCAACTTGGACTGGTAAACGTCGACCATTTCGGTGAATGAAGATGTTCCCTCATACTAACACGATGTGAATTCAATTAAAACGAAATCAATAATGGGATGAAATAAATTCCAAGCTGATGCCGGTGCTCAGTGATTCGTTAAATGCCTTCGATTTCTGACGAAAATTACTTTCGCACCGGTCGTTTGCCTACTAAAGCCTTGGTAGTTAGTCTTAGAAATCAAATCCTGAAACTGAAATTTACCTACATGAGGATATGGATTGCTCAATGTGTAAAGTCAAATGTTACGGCTGCTTGAATTCAAACACCAACAAAATCCTCGCCTTTCTACACTTCTGTCATGTTATTTTAATCGTTATTCAGTAGAGTGAATGATTCCAGAGATTCTCTTTGACAACTTTATCAGACTCTACAGTAATATATCCATAATACTTAAAGAATGATTGTTATTGACAGCCGTGATATTTTAAGTTATGTCGAATCATTAAGATCAGTGGATTACTGTTCAAAACATGTGCGTGTGTGTGACAGATAGTATGCACAAACATAACACTAAATGGAATATCAGATCAATTAGGAGAATTAATATAGTAATTGTGAATGTATAGATTCCACTACAGGTCAGGATGGCTTCTGTTGTTTGAAGTATTCTGTATACAAAGTACACTGGTTGGTAGATTATTCGGTATATGATAAATGATAGAAAAGGAATGATCTCTGACTACCTTATAGTCTGAAGGGACCAAGAGTTCTGACATCGGATGGCTAACGCTTTACACCACACTGTTATTTAGCCACACTGGTAGGTGTTCTGAGGCGCAAACAATGAATTTCCTAGAGCTAGAGCCAATATATAACTGGCTGCACAGGAGCAGCTGAATTGATAGTATTGACTATTCTCTTTCTATCATCTACCGGGTGGATGTATTACTGTGGAACCTCTCAGCATTAAGAACAAGATTTGGTTTTTCAACACCAACATCGAGTCACCTCTCCGACATTGTACTTACGAAAAGTACTTCCAACGGGTAGCAGATTTCGATAGACAGCTGCCCTGTCTGCCCCCAAACTGAAGATCGAATGACCAGCTCGAAAGAATTAGAAAACAAATTTATAGGTGCGAACCAACAAAGAACGCATGGCTCAATTGATGGAGATGGACTGGTCATAAGCTGAGGAGACCGTCGAATTACATCATGCACCAAGGGATTGTTGGAATGGAACACAAATGAGAAGTGACAACAGAGTCTTCCTAGGGTGACAAGGAGAATATCGTGAGAGGAGATGAGAGGCCATGGGTAATCGTGGACCCGGATGAAGAGGAAAAAAATGCTGTGGAACTTGATGAAGTTGTCGGAAAGAATATTCTTGGTTCACTTATCCGCCTGTCAAAATATTTAATCGCATATTCCACATATAAATGTATATTTATTCACATGAACTGTTTACAACTGATTGTATGGGCGAATCGGTACATGCTTTGAGAGGCTTATGATGAACTAATAGGTTACGAATACTAGATGTCTTCTATTTGTCTTTGTGCCATTAAATCTCTGGTCTCCCATAATCAGTAGAAAGCGAACATAGTCATACGCTAGTTGCGTAAATACCTGTTCATTGAGTACGAATATCCATAATCCACTATGGAAACTTTAGTATTGATATATTCTTGTGGTCAAAATAAATCCACTGTAAACGAGCACTACTCAGCAGCATTCCATGATCTATTGATTTCTGTGAGATTTCACTGCCTGCCATCAGTAATGGAGTAGCTATATTCGTTTCTCAGTGAAAATATTGGTGTGCTTTTTTTCAACATGACAGATACACTTTGATAATGACTATTGACAACTACAAATACAAGAACTGAATGATGATTTCAAGCAAGTGATACAAAATTGCAGTGCATTATAGCATCAAACATTTATGCACAAAATGTGGAATAAAATAAAAATGGTATTACAAATGCATAAACTGTATAATGTTTCCATTTCAGTTCCACTTATCTCACTGACATGTAAGTGAATAAATAAATTTATCTTCGGTTTCAAGATTGCAGGAATTCTCACTATGAAACTACTCGAAACACTTTAGTATTTATCGAAGTCCATAACTTCGAACATTCTCCCAGAAAGTAGGTGTGAATTTCTCCCGAAAGAAATCCGAAACGATAATCCAAATTATAGATTTAACCACACGTAGAGTGACGCGTAAAGTGAGAAATACAGGATATTCTGCAATACGGTACTTTATTACATCAAAATAGATATATAATATACAAACCTCAAAATGTGAGGTGTCTGTGGCTAAATGCCGTCAAATGCACAACCACTGTGCAGTCAATAAGTAAAAACAGCAATGCTGTGTCAAGATCGATTCACGTGTCGGTTCAAACGACCCGCGAATGCCAAGCAAAGAATAAACAAATATGAACAAACAACTTTTAATAGTAAAGCATACACTATAGGGCAAGGTCAGCAAATAATGTTTAAGGAGAAGAAAAATATGAACTATACATTAATAGAATGAAAATAGAACAAGTAATTTAACTGCAGTTGTAAGCAAATGTCATTGTTATAAATTAACGTATAAAAATCATACTACTCACTAATGGCGAGTAGTATAACGTTGAACAAAGGAAAGATTGAGAATGAACAGGTAGGAAAGGAATTAACAGTAGGGTTATTCAACTTTAATGCCGTCTCCGAAAAATGAAAGTGAAGGAAGTAGAACTAGACTGGCGGGATGAATGGCTTGAATGATAGTGCTGTTTGTTACTGAAACTTCAAACCAGTGAGCTTAGTAGCAGTTAACACTTTACATATTAGAAAAACCCGATAAAACGCTCAATTCTGAATATAATTGCAGAAATAACCACAGACTACTCTTAAAACGATTCAACTGCTGTTAGGGGAAGATTTTGATCGATAAGCTCACTAATGTGGCTCAGTAATCAAGGAGACAACCCTCATTCATGAAAGAAAGGATGAACACTGAGTATTTAACTTAATGACACTGCTATACTCGACATTAGATGTGTGATGAAATATCGAACAGGACGGATTAAAAGGACATATGTAAATTTTCAGTATAGTTGTATTATTTTAGATGGATGGTTTAGTTGCATTTAATCTAAAAGCGGCACGCATGAGGATGTCGGAGTCATCGACGATCAGAAAGGGAAGGCAGACCTTTATTGCTCTGAAACAAGTCAGGAAATCTTATGACATAAATTATGAGAACAAAATCCAAGTATTAAACACCAGTGGTAATGCAGTCACTCTTTCTGCCTGAGTCAGAAACTTGCAGAGTGCGTCACGAATAGCTTTTCCAACAAGTTAGCTCAGACTTATGTCAACAGATGCCGCCTTCACTCAATACTGAAGATTAGATGGCTTTTCAGAAAGAATTACCAACAGGAAACTATGGGAATGAACCAATCAAATACTTGTCGCTCAACAAATAAGCAGAAGAAAATCGAGATGGATGGATTGGACACGTCCTGAGCAGACCGTCGACTGACGGCGTGTACCAGGTCATCTTCTGAGTGGAACCCGAATGAGAAACGAATGGCGATATAGGCGTATGTGCTAGGGTGACATGGAGAAGGTCACGCGATGAGGAGATGAGAGACTATGAGCAGTCTTGGGGTCACCGATAGAGGACCGCAGAGAATAGGCTAAAACGTAGATTTGCTACTGGAGCCATTTGTTCCCCTCGGGATCCAATGGAACAATAACAGTAATAATAATGTACTGAACTCTTTATATGTTAGCAAATTAATATATAAATATGCATATATTTGTATATATACTGATAACTAAAATGTTACAGTCGTTTTTATGACTCACAAGTAATATATAAATCTTGTTTGTCTTATTACTTTGATAAAAAAAAATCAAATTAGCCAAGAAATGGAGACACTATTGTAAGTAGAATAAACTGATTCGAATCTTTATGATGAACAACCTCACCTTGGACCAAGTCAAACTTCAGGCACCCACAAATTGCAAAAGTACTCATTACTTTGGAACGTCCAGTCAACAACTAATTGAAATTATGTAAATAGCACTGTAACAACAGAGGGCAGGCCAAAGTATATTTTTCATTGATCAAACCACTGTTTATATATGTACAGTTTGTATTTTTTTAACCAATCACTGAGCGTGTGATTTCGGTTTACATCAAACGACGTGAAACAGAATGTTCAAACATACACAGTATCCTGTTGACAATGCAGTACTGAACTATGGGAAAGTATTCTGTTTCTAACATTGAAAAGAATGTCCAATAGACATAATGTATGCAGTATTGAACTGTGGGAATATCATTCCCACTCTAACATCAAATAGAATGTTGAAATAGATATATGGCATTCTGTTGCTAATGCCGAATCGAACTATCGGAATATGTGAGAATAATATTCCGTTGACAAACATTGTCTGTATCACATCACCACAGCACCACATTCTTGAAAAGAAAATGCTGAATAAAGTGTTATGATATTAAACTGGATATCTGGTTACTTTATGTTTGGGTTCCGGAGAGAGATTAATCTCAGGTTTGGACGAGGGAAAGGTTGGCGTGTGGCTGACCTAATTAGGGAGATATTAGCGTTGGTTCGAAGCAGATTAATATTAGACATATGTAAAAATTATATTTGTAAAATCTCAGAGAAATTAAAAACAGTAACTCCAACGTTTCCTAAGGCAAACTGGTCCGAACTTCCTTAGGAAATACTTAACTGATATGACCAGGGATTGACATAGATGCCTTGATTTGAATGAAATAAACACGTTTTAATTTTATTATTCAATAGTGTTTGAAAGATGAAGTACACACTTCGTCAACTAATCGTTTTTGTACACATTCTTAGTCCAAAAGGCACTCTGGAGGAGGACAAAAACCCTGAGTAAGTGATAGGTGGAACATTTTCAGTGGATCACCACTTATTGTGATTATCACATTTTATGCAGTATTTTTCATTTCCTCATTCTAATTGATAAAACTATGATGTAATAAGAGGCAGTGTGGGGGTGTGTCCTACTAATGATGAGATATAAGCACTATGTGTAGCCTTTATGCCTAATATCAAACAGACATTGGGATCTAAAGGCGAAAACCAACAGATTTTCAGAAGAGGCAAACAGCGAAGACGAGACCTGATTGGAACATAGAATAGACAGAGGTGGTGGAGATCCCTAATCAATAGTAACAAGCGTCAATTACCATAGACGGGAGTAATTTGAAGGTGGCCTGTTCTTGCAGTAGATACCGTTTAACTATGGGAAGACAACTGCTCCATGTCAAACAGAATATTAATGCATTATGTGAAATAAACTTCAATGGCTAATAACAGCTATTACTCATAAGTAGCATAACGTTGAACACAAATGAAAGAGTTATAACTGCTGTCTTCGCTCTGTACTGAAGATCAGCTATGTGACCAGAAAGGATGAGAAACAAGGAACTCTGGGGACGAAACGACCAAGAACCTGTCACCCTGGAAATATGCTCATAAGACACCACGCACCTACCTATCGGGTTGAACACGAATGGGAAACGAGTTGTGATCAGGTCTGAGGGTGACTTAGAGGAGATCATGTGATCATGTAAGGAGGAGGTGAAAGAGCACAGCCACTTGAAAACAAAAATGGAGAATAGGGCTAAATGGCTATGTGCCTCTGAATCCCTATGTTTAACTCAAAACCTAACGGAATAATAAAAATAAATAAAGTGTGCAGTAATTTCCCCAAGGAAGCGGTCACTATTTGTCTGTCGATAGAACAACCAATCAAGAAGAATAATTTAAAAGCCCTTGAAAGAATCTAATTATGATTCTACTCATCAATATGTCTACAGCAGTCAGTTTTATGTGATCCCAAATACCACCTAATCTACTTGAATAAAAAAATCTGTCGCTTCAGAACTGAGCAGTACAAGTTCAAGTACTAAATGGAAACAGGAGTCTCTCCAGAAACGTAGACACACTCCTGTTCGACAACTACCAACGAGGTATGAAACTCAGGTTGGACTGTTTTTCTTAATGGTAATTGTCTCCTTCTTATGTTTAGCGTCAAAATCAGAGGAAGAACTGATTAAGAAGTTTCGCTACTCGTAGGATTGCTGTGAATTATGTGAAAAATAAAAACCTTTATAACAGTGCTTATCTGTATATGCTTCTCATTAAAAAATACGTGTATCAGAATACTATATATTGAGTTAAAATAATACAATCTTGTGTTCTACACGAATTAATTCCACTACAGCACAATATGTTCCGAAACTAAGTATGTTTTCAAGAATTTTATATTTTTCGACTTAACGAACAGTCAAAATTGCATAATACAAATATACTGTCATGAAGCATATTAGGAGTGGATTTTAAGCGTATTTAATGTATCCCTTTAACTACTGTCCTTTCAAATTCTAAATTTATCGACTTGTTAAACAAGCAAAATGTCACAATGAGATGTTTGAGTTGCTTTATTTAACTATTCTATCTTTGATTATATTTACTTACGAAGTGAAGTCAGACTGACAACTAGAGGAAACCTGTTACTACATAAGTTAGCCTATTGGCTAATTAATTTTCGATTAGGGAATTTTGTTTTGCAGTATTGACAGAGAGCGATTTGCAATAGAACTCCTTCCTATATAAGCCACTTCCACCAGTTTATTTCAGCGCTGATATCATCGATAATTGATATCACCTACGGAACCATTAATTATTGGAATGCACTTAACAGTCATATTGTCTCAATTTGGGACATGTACATTCAAACTGTGGTGCATTGAATGCATGTCTGTAGGGTATTGAAAGGGTATTGAAGCACTTTTGCAACTGACTCCACTGTTTTGTATTTACGGGTTTTATATGCTAAAGTAGTGATGAGAAGCTATGAGTCTATCTCGTAGCCTAAAGATCTCGGTTCAGTTACCCATGCAAGTTTTCAGTAGGATCAACTGTATTGTTGCACATTGGGATGAAAAGGATTTAGAATTCTTCGATTTTTCAGTGTCTATCTTGATTGAATACAGTATCAGATATTTCGACCATCCTATTATCTGCTCTGCCCACGTATATGTGGATATGAAACAAATTTGGTGGAAGTCAGACAACAAAATGATGGTTTCTTTGACTTTGATGTCGTCCATGTTTATCTCACCAATAAATTTCATCTGGTATATTGACATACCTAATGATCAAATCCGTGTCATCCATTGCTGAAGTAAGCCACAATTGGTGTTCCATAATGCATCACCAGTGACCTCAACAACTTGAGGTGAAGTAAATAATTGGGATGAGATATTGAGCAATAAAAGACTCCCCCAGGTATCGTATATACCTTGTGGATGATTATAGAAGAAGCGTAATATTTAAGTGAAAAGCATTTCCACCTCTAAATTCTTCATGCTCTATATTCATTAACAAAGTATGGGCATGCGTCGGTGACACAGTGGTTAGGACGCTCGCCAACTATGCACATGGTCCGGGGTTCGATCCCCTGCCGACGCGCACCTGATATCAATGGTCGGTTTGCAAACGTTTGGCTACCAATATCACATGCTGAAAATTCCATACTTGTACCAAAAGTACCGTGTGGTTTCAAGCTATAATCAAAATGAATAAAAGAATGATAAGTCTATCGTAAAAGCCCCTTATCGCTTTATCCTCTTAATAAAAGCCACAGCCATGAACCGTAGGTTTTTCTTTTAACTTGAGACACTTGGACATAAGTAGTCATACGAGGTTTCACAGGTAAAAATCCACCTTCATTGCATTTCCACTCACTAATCAGTACAGTGGATGCTTGTAGTAGTTATGTTGGGCGTTTTTCTTCCCGGTGACTGACGATAACGAATAATCTATGGTCATCAGTTTGTCTCTTAACCTCTTACCGCTTTCTTTATTCTAGATGCAGATGTCTAGCTAACATGTAAGATAAAGTTTGTTCATTTTCACTGTGTACAAAATAGCATCAAATTTCAAATTCGTGAAATTCACTCAGCTTTTTCTCATTTTCACAGTTTAACGTGAAATCTCATCACAACTACACATATGAAACAATAAAGTAGTATATCACATCCGACAGTTGTACTTACTTTCCTCATTGCCATATATGGCATCAATCAGATTTGAATAATTTCAGTTTGCGAGAGATACTGTAGTGAAATTTTACTTCCAGTTGTGCTAATTGCAAGTCACAAATCGATTTGTAGATTGAGAATCTGTTTCAATGTATTGCCGGTTCATCCATTTAGCCAATCAGAATTTGGATGGTGTGAACTGATTAGGCTTCCTCACCTGAGTCAAATCGAGGACACCACTGATGAAACTCTACCACAAATGATCGAGAAGCTCGTCCGGTATTTAAATTCACATCTATCTAGCTGGCAAGTGCTACTCGTCAGTGAGAATGGTATCCAATTGCTCATAACAACCACCCAATAGTATATAGCGTCAAGTATAAAATAATTTTTATTGCGACAATCAGCAGAATATAGTCCCAAGTTTATAAAACTTTCAACTACGACATTTGTCATCGTATCGTATAGATACACTCAGGATACATTAGGGGGAAATCAAAGTTTTTCAGTTCTGACTTACCTGAATTTTTTATTTGGAGAAACATTCACAAATTTGTAATCATCATATCCCATTGGTCTATCCTGAATAGATACATGAAGCTGATGAAATTGTAAGTCTCCTATAATAAGTTCACTAAACTTTATGCCTAATTATTTGTTATGCATTTTTAAACACTTCTCAAAGGTGTATCATGCCACAACACTTTGGCTGATATTGATTATTTAAATCACGAACTTCTGTACCTACCTCCATAGTTAACACTGAGAATATATCTGAACGAAGTCGGTCGTTTGTGACTATATTCCCCTGGCTGTAAACAGTTCCTCAATGAGCGGGAACTATATCATCGGCCTGATGAAACCATAAGGTGGAAGACGTATATTTACATTCACCTGGAATTATGCAGCCCAGTGTCTCTTGATCTTCCCCGTCAACTAACGATGTCTGTGTACCAGTAGGGGAAGGCTTGGTGAAAACAGGAATACAATGAAATATGCAATAATGAAATATACGTGATACATACTGTGCAATCCTGAATTCGTAAGAGGATTCAGCAATGAATTTTTGGTGAAGATACGTATTTCTGCGGTAGGGATAGGCAACATCAAACTAAATCAAAGTAATGTAAGATACTCGAAACTCCATTTCAACTAGTAAGAATAATAAAGTCTGGTAGTACATAGTCACTTGAATGTGCACTGTGCACGAATTAGTAATATAATCCACAAATCTACATGTTGTGCATTTCTATGATTCTTCTCCACTGTGTGTTAGCTAATCTGATCGCTGATCCCCCTTAGGAAGGAGAATCAGAAGCTGTTGTCTATCATGTTGTTTTTCAGGGAAGTGGTACAGATGAGATAAGAAGAAAGGTGATTTGTAAATTGTCACAAAAAACTATACAGAATCATATTACCTGTCTCCACAAATAATGCCAGAGTAAACTTGTATAATCCATGACAGCATAACAAAAAGTCAGATTAAATATTTCCCATGGGTTTACGATGCAACTTTTTGATTTTCTCTGCCTGGTACCTTTAAAAAATCTTGATATGCACGGTAAATATTTGAGAATGCAGAAATTTGAAGACAAACAGTACTACATCTTTTTGACCTGTTTTCATATACTTCCACAGCTTATGCTTTGCATTTCGTAATTTGCGAGTAAAACCTATAACAGCTAAGGTTGTGATGGTGTTTCTAGTCCTATGCGGAAGCTTCATTTATTCTCGGCTTACTGCTGGCTAGTCGAAATTAAGGAGTTCATCAGCAAGGAATCGAGTCCGGACCATGTACGTGGCTGACGAACATTCGATCGTTTGTTCAAATCCACAGTCTAACTAACGAGCATATTCTGCTGCTTATAATACTTTGATGTGCTACTTATAGATAGCTGTCTCTACTGAACAGATGTTTCGTCCTATTCTGAGACTCTTCATTAGCGTACACAAACGACTCGTTTGGGGATCAAACCCACTGATTCTCAGCTACATACCAGCTCACTGACCATTTAAATCACCGGAAGAGAATCTAATGACCAGTAAATTCTGACTTAGGCTCTTGCGGGTTTTCAATAATGTTGACTGATCCTATCCTCTGCAAAATATCCTCTATTATTTAGCTAATCATTACAAAGAGATCGACTGACGAATTACAAAAACGAAATAACTTTGATAGTGGAAAACTGATTTCATTTCCGTTGTAGAAATCTACAATTAAAACATTTGTAAGTTGTTATAACTGCTGAAGTATGGTTTATATTGTGAAGAGTGTACATTTACATCCTATTTAACGTCATTTAACAAGTTTGATAAGTAAAGCCAGAGAAATACAAAACATCAGATTAATAAGCATATTTAGAATATGAAACTAACCAATGACAAAAATGAAGAGATAGTTGGAGGATTTCATCATGAACTGACATCGGTTAGAGAAGCATTCTCAAACCTGCAGGAAGTACTGGACATCTGTTTCGTCCTAGTCTAAGACTCTTCAACGGCACGTACCCACCAGGGTTCTAACCCAGAACTTTCTGGTTACAAGGCGACCCCATAGACCATTAGGCCACTGGGACCCAATTCAGTGGCCCAAGATTGCTAAGTTTTGCCAATTCACGACATATCGCCACCGCTTAACAATGTCTTCTTTGGCGAGTAACTATCCTCACCTTCGACCTGCGGTAGCCTACTGGTCACGCCTTCCCACTAGCACCCCAGGCAATCGACATAATCTCTGTGATGCAGAGTTAAAGTAGCCTAAAGGTGTTATGAGTGGGTCGGTGGCATAGCAGTTAGGACGTTCGTCGACCATGCACATGGTCAGGGCTTCGATCCCCGGCCGATGCACTCCTTTACCTCGCTAAGCCAGAAATAATGCTGGTGAAGAGAAAGGTAGGGCATGAGGCTAGCAACCCCATCCTGTAAAATAAACACTGCTACAGAAACTTCAAGCCACTAGCTAGAAGCCCTATATTCCACTGGAGAAAGTGACGGAAAAAAAGTGTTATGAACAACAAGGTTGCTGCCGTTTGAGTTTAATAACGTCACCAAAATGTGACATAGATTGATATGACCAGCACTCATAATCATGTCACAACTGAGGTTTGATTTAGTAAAGCAGTAAGTATATCGTTTGAAGACCGATCACCAATACCAGTTCCCAGTTACTCTTAACTCCATGGAACTAAAACACAAATTAAGGCAGAAGACGGAATTCTCCGCGCTGGTGAGAACAACCGATTTTTATCATAGAGAAATGCATTGCATGCAAATATTATCTACCACGGAATAGTGAGCCGTTGATTTCAGGTTTCAAGGTTGTCCAAACGCGATAAATGACATTCTGTCTCCACACGACGACTTAAATTTGTCCAGAGTGGTTTCGGCTTCTTTTAACTGGCTTTAAGATCAGCTGACTCTAGAGTAAATAGAAGGCAGGATCTCTCAATTTCACCCAGGAAATCATCTCAGAATGCAATCGACCAGAGTTAGTTTCTAGAGGGCACACTGTTTCTAACATAACTTACTACATATTTTAAGTAGCACGATACTTCATTCCTCTAAGTGTGTGGAACATGAGTCATGTTCATTTCTCTACTTCTCTATTCAATGCACGAGCTTTTGATTAGAGTAGAAAATTCAGCATAAACTGAAGAAAGAGATACAATTGTGAAATTCATTCATTCATCCACGTATGCATCGGATGGATAACCAGTATTCAGCTATCGTGAACTGTCATTAACAATCACATTTTAGATAGTCAGCTGGTATCATGAACTCTCAGTCGACGACAACATCTCAGTGACAGTGGAGAACAATTCCTACATGCTATAAGAGTGATATAACCGAGTGGATTGATAGGTGGGCAATACGACGCTGAACGCGACAAACACCACAACCGCTTACTGAATGCAGCTAACATCGCACCCTCCCCACCAAACACCTTGTGATTTACTAAGACACGAAATTATCAGAGGAAAAAGACCATACTGTAACAGCAAGGATGAATTTATTTGGCAAATATGTATTGGATATTTAGATTATGTAAAAGTAGGCGAGGACAATGGTGATTTGACCCGCCACATTCTAGTCAAACGTTATTAAATGTTGTCTCACTCTTCCACTCTCTCATAGCTACTCATATATTCATATACCTACATTATTAAGTCGGCTGAGTGAACAAAAATACACTTTCATTCTCCCTAAATAGTATATGAATTACATTACAATAATGTCTCCTCACTAACACAATTAATATCAGTTCTTTGGGAACCTTTTCGGTCTACCACATTGCTCAAATTCCTTTCTTTTATTAGCTTCTTTACTATAACCTCGAAAGATGAATGTTTGTACTAAAATATGATGTGATCTACTTCTGTTTTGTAAGGTGGAACGACGGATTAAAACTGTAAGAATTCATTGCTGATACTGGAAACAATAAATTTTCTCTTGTTTTTCCATTACACCTAATTCTTGTTTATCAGAATATTTCAGTTATACGAAATCAGAATAATCAGGAAAGCATTGTGTGCCTATGCAGGTGTATGTGGGTGCCAAATGCTTCCTTGTCATTGAGACATGCAAAGTCGACCACTACATGAAGGCAACAGCGATCGGTTTTCCCTCCATTATGACCATAGTTTTCAACTGATTTATTCCCATCTATTTGAAAATTAATTGTTACGTCTGCATCAACTTGTATTTGTTTACTCATTTTATTATTAAGGGGAAGACCTGTTACCATATTTTTGCTATTCAGTGATTGCTGCTATAGCGAGAGTGCCTTTCTAGGCTTTGTCTGTTGCACGTTTCTGCACACGGTTACTGCTTTCATATAATTTTTCCATCTGTCACTCGATCAATCTTTTGACTTGATCGTAAATAGTATCTAAATCGAAATGGTCACTGAAACTGCATGTCTGTAGGAATTCGATTCTATTTCTCAATTGAAACAAATCCAAAATTTCGAAATCTCGCAGTCAGGATGGCTGTCACAATGATGAACTTTTTGATATGACCTTTCCCCTATCGATCGACTTATAATTTCGCCACCTCTCTCATTATAATAGTTTTCTTTTTATTCATAGCGATCCAGTGAACTCACTTTTTACTCTTATTTCTGACACTTCTTCGTCTGTTGAAGTAACCGATTTCCAAGAGTCTTCGTTTTCGTACTTGAATTATATTGAATGCTCTTCCTGAAATAAATCTCACACAAAAGTATCAGAGATGAAACAAATGTGGTTTGTGAGTATAAACTGGTCAAGCTGAAATATGTCACACAATAACCCCTTCTTCATTTGACCGTCAAGTAATTAACTTCCAATAACTTGTCTTCAGTATTATTCCGTTTTCATTCGTGTGCAAACATAGAGTGATAATGGTGCCTATGTTGATATCGAGACATCTGCATACTAAAAGTTAAGGCCAGAGAGGAGAAACTTTCAATTTATGTATCCAGTACAGACATTCATTTCAATGAAATAATTAGTGAAGCAGAATGTTCAGAGAACAGCACTTCACTGATGACTGCATTGTCTCCTTCCTGCAGGGTTATAATGTACATTCAAGTTGGATGTCAGAATTACTCAACCTCTTGAAAAACACTTGATCAATCCCAACCACTTGCAGTGACTGGTCATGAGACGATGAGTTACAAATATTGGTATATTCCAGTCGGTAGAAAGTCTTGTCATGTAAGCACTTCAGTCCAAACTTTAAGTAGCACATATGTGTTTCTCAGATTCTAACCTTGATCCTTCAATGCAAGAATGATGTATCAGCGACCAAAGGTCAACCGATTCTACTGCCTAATATCATATTTATTAGTTGAAAGCTACAGATCAAGTAATTTGTGGGATCACCAAGGTAACTAAGAGGACACTGTGACTCACTTTTATTTCGTTCTTACAAGTTTGTGCGTGACTGATTGAACAGTTTTATGTGCCTAGCAAATTGGTGAATAGTTTTCAGTGCCTAGCAAGTTCATTCGAGGCATCAGTTGATATACATACACACATATTTACGTGTTGGTTATCAATAAGATTATGATTCTTTTTACTGAAGAAACCGTAATTCATGCGACGAAAAATTTGTTTGTTTTTGTAGAGAATTAAGGTTTCATCTAAACAGAACTTATGCCAAACATTTTCTAACAATTTACTTCATGAATCCGCAACAAACTTAAATAAATTGGGATTGAATAATCTAAGCATTAAATAACTTTGTTTATGTCTTATTATTACAGACTTATAGAGTGAAGGTTGGTTCACACTTAATAATTTGCATAATTTAAAATTGTGGGGTTTATATGTATGTTTATTTCGATACATAAACTGTTCGCATTCCATTCACCTTCACATCACATAAGTAATTAGCGAATTCGGAACCGTCTCTAACAGCAGATAGAATTAGACGTGTCTACAACTGGGTTAATAATGAGTCCTGGCTCGTGTGATTTTTGCAGACAATACAATCGTGATGTATGATTTCCAATGGGTTTAAGAGAGTTATAGGTAGCCTCACAGATTACTCCACTTTTTCGTCATTTCTATGAGCTTTTTTTAAGTCGCTTTTTAGCCTTACCCTTTAAATCTGTTAAGTTCTAAATCCTTTCACCTAGTGGAGTAAATGTTGCCTACTCAGTGTGTGAGTTGCACTCAAATGGCCAGTCATACACTGTCGTGTATTTAAGTATCCTGGGTGAATAACAGTAGCCTCTTCAATGCACAATCTACACAGTGAAAAGGAACTGAAATCAAGTTTCATCCAATCACCTCAGTGGGTTAAGTCCAAGTAGTGCTGTATATCGTATAACATTTCTTCAGGCATCTGACTTACAGTCATAATTCTATAGTGAGATAACCATTTGACTGACTCATTGATGTAACTAACACATATAACTAAATTCGACTTATTTGCTTTTTTAAACATTTCAGAATGAAGCAGTCGATATCGAATTGTGCACTATTAACGACAAATATCCCTGTCTAACTAACTAACTAACTGACTATCTAACTAACTGACTTTCTAACTAACTGACTAACTAACTAACTAACTAATGTAATCTATGTGAACTATTTCAGTAATTATTCATTAAATATAAACTAATGATAAACTCTCTTTTGGCGTTGTTCTTCTTCACTTTGTTGAAGTTCGCAATCTCCCTTTCATTCAATTCACCACTTATCTACCGACAAGTGCATTTCATCATTTGTTATACTTCATGCATTATGCTTTTAACCACCCTTTAACTTAGTGTTCAGCATTTCAAACGCCTAAAGCTCTTATCCAAGATGGTCACCATCTATTTGATCACTGATTATACCAGAAGTATTCTGTCAATATGACATGAATGAATTGATAAGATCCTTCTATAGAATATTCACTTCGAACGATTGTTTGAATTTTGCTTAAACTAACAGCTTCGCGTCTGTTTTAGTCTGTTTAGCAGTAGGACTTCGAACATGCTCCTTGTCCAAATTGAGATACAAAGAAATTCGTTTAACTAGACCTTTTCATGAAAACCAAAACACCGATCGATTTGACTTATTAAAATTCGTATCTTAGAGAGCCAAGAGACTACTGTCGTCTTTCCCCACACTGTAGACGTCCTCTGCCAGGCTAGTCCGAGACTTTATCGTCACACTGAGAGTGCGCCTTTCATAAAAGTGAAAAGACGAATGACTGCTCAGGGAAGCTGGAAGTCCATGACTCCAAACCCGTGGTGAATAGGGGCTTACTTAGGATATGATTTTGAAGGACGACTCGAGTGGAGCTAGCTGCGTGACTTGAATTCATCAGATACTACTCATGAATTCACATGGTAACTGACTTGCACTGCCCCACTTCATAACAGTCCATGATAATGTTGTGAGATGTATTCGGAAAGTGTACCCTGTGTGTGGTCGC